AAATTGGGCGGTAGGCCGGCCTAAGACAACGATTTTTAATAATTAATTACTTGTTAACTATTACGAAAATTGCAAAATGGTACAGGACTTTTCCGTTCATCTCGATCCGTTCTACCTTCTCAAAAATTTTGTCGGATATGGAAAGACTCACCCTATATAAATTTTTTATAATTTTTTAACAGTTTTTAACAATATAATTTTTTAACAGTTGTCTATCACGATTTAAAATTAAAGCGTTTATAAATGTTGACAATTAAACATCGCCAATTGTTGATTTCTTGAAGGCATGATTTAATCGTGCCATTTGTAGTTACGATGCGGTGTGTGTGTGTGTGTGTGGGTGTGCACATAAAAAAATGTATATAACTAAATTGAAAAATATAACGAAATTTAAATATAACTGATTTTAAATAAATTAGAACATAACTAAATTTAGTTTCAATCAAAGAAGCAAAATTGATTAAATAATTAAATAACTTTTTATGTTTTCTGTTTAAAAGATAGAATTTGTTTTAAATGGCGCTGCTGTATGTATTCGTAGTAGATTTAGCACCGTTTTAAATAGATTTTTTCTTGAACGGGAATCTTAATTTGTACACAGATGACTTCTTTATCCTGCGATTTTTGAGAGTCTGCAAGTTTAATCTGGAGAAAACTAGAATCAGGATGCAAAACTATTACAAGCAGAAATCCCGCTTACCAGAATGGTACATGAATAAAGATCCGTGTCGTCCAGAACTGCAGGAATTGCTTGATATGGGGTAAAAATTATTATTTCGGAGTACTAAGAATTTACCTAAAATTGGAGATAAAATGAAGATAAAATTTTTGATCACTTTTTATTTTGTTTCCATTATATTTTATTGAAAACGTTCGGAAATGTTGGATGTTTTCTCGATAATTGGAATTAGACAATATTTTTTCGAAGTAGTCTTAAATACTTTATTTATGTTTAGGGTGTTTTTGCCTCTGCGAAAGCCAGATGGTCAAGGAAGATTAGTTATTGTGGTGTACGGCACTCGACATGATCCAAGAAAACACAAAATAGCAGACTTGTGTACGGTAAGGATTATAGTCGTATAATCGTCGAAAAATTTATGGTCGACGTATTTTTAATTCGAAATTTGCTTCTGGACGGACCACCTTTCTAGATCGGTATTATGGCGGTAGAGCTGGCGATGAGGAATTATCCCGCAGCATCCTTGTACGGCTGCTCAGTTTTTATAAACGTGGCCAATCCAACTATGCGCCATGCTCTCCAATTGCAACCTCAAGTAATAATGAATATTGTCCACACGTGGCAAAGCTGTTATCCTATAAGGATGCAATCGATAACCATGTTCAACGCGCCCGAATATATCGATGTTGTTGCAAGGATTTTCAGATCTTTTATGACTGAGAAGTTAAAGAACAGATTTCATATCTACTCACACAGGACAACGCAGAACTGTTTTGAGGATATTCCAGCTAACATCTTGCCCGTCGAATACGGCGGCACTGATGGTACGGTCCAGGAATTAGCAGGTAATTACGGTGAATTAAATGCGTAATTGTACTCTCTAATTGGATGATAAGGAAATTTCTTATTGAGCAAGTGTTGCCGAAGTAATGAACTCTTTGTAGTTGAGACAATCATTCAGGCAACAACGTACATGTGATACAAATACTTTACTTTTGCAGAATATTGGAAGAAATTAATCATGGAGAACCGCGATTGGCTCATGGATGATGAGAACGACAACATAATATGGAAGCAATAGATTTGCCGATCAAAAATTTTCCTCTTATTGTTAGTATTCTTAGTTTTAAATAATAATATATAATTATACGTAATTATACGTTATCGTATAAACATTTATTTTTATATTTGTATGTGTTTTATTTAAATGACGCGTGAAACAAAAATTTTTATGCTTTTTCGCTGCACATTTAGCGCATCTTTAAATTAAAGGATGGAGAAAGACAATTATAAATAGATTTGCTACAGCAAATTTCTGAATCCATTGTCTGTTGCGATGGATCGATTATTAAACATGATTGTTCCTGGAAATGATAGCAACGATTATGCAGGTTTCAAGGGGTATGCTGACAATCTGCATTAATTATTGGCGACGAGCTGGAAGAAGAAATGTATAATTTCTCGATAGAAAAATGAGACCAACATCTGAACGAGAAGGTCAACGCGCATTTTAGAATTAGATAGTGAAGAAAAATAACGAATTGATAAAAAATTCTACGCGATTCTACGTAGCAGTTGCATTAAAATATGCTGGGTGAAATTCAATTGCCGTTTATTAAGTTCAGAATAGTAAAACAAAGTTATTTTTAATCATATAAGATGTTTAAATTATAACGGGAACTTATAGTCAACCCAACTGGCTAGTTGCTTTATTTAAAGTTGATACAACGTTTTGACCCTGTAGTTTGGGTCCTTTTCAAGTATTACTAATTAAGTCATCTTGTCGAAGTGACAGTGTCAAATTGTAAATTGATGGTACATGTGAGCGCTATGATTGTTGGGCTCGAACTGCTATCAATTGTATATACGTTTGTTATTCAATTTAGTTGTTTTATATCTATAATTGTTATGCGTGCTTTATCAGGGGCCTTTTAGGATCCATCTCTTCAAGACTTGGCAACGTTAAAGAAAGTTTGCTCTTATATACTTCATTTAATTTTGCTACATGTAGATCGCTTTATTTTGTCCGTTGACAGTATGTGCGATCAGGAAAAAAAATTCTTTGCTTCCTTTTTCCTTCCACGGCGCAAAAGACGCTTGATAGTACCGTGCACGAGAACGGATTATGAAATAACATAAGACTACTCTGCATTCTTAAATTACGTAAATGTATATGAAGGGATATTCGCTCTACTCGTTTTGCAATTTGAAACGCACTTTTTCTAACAGTGCTTTATCTTTTCAACTATAAACACTCGACATTATAATTTATTAAATTTACACAAATAAATTATTAGTAACAACGTAGCTGCAATCCTTTAATATAATTATTTTGTACGCATTCTGCAAGAGAGTCAAATGCGTGTAAAGTGTACAGTGAAAAGAATTTAAAAATTAAAAGAAACAGTACAGAGTCTTTTCGCAAGTCATCCTCTCGAGGCTGGCTGTCAAGCACTCTGGTATGTGTCAAGTTTATCAAAGCGGATTCGTCATTGTGCGTTGCAGATGGCGCATCTATCTGATCGCCGAAGCTGACTAATCGGGAAAATCATTCCAAAGAGCAGGCCTGCGTATCGCATTATCGGTTGGCCGTGTTTATTGTTAATCGCACGTTTCAGTGTGTATTTGAGATTTGTGTACGCGAGTGTCTCTCCGCGGCAGACGAGGCCTCACCTTCCAGTTCCACCAGTTGTTCACCATCATCGTCGCGATGGCGAACGATCACAGCGACTGCGTTCACGCTCGGCGAGATCTGACCAGTGAGGATAAGAGATATGCAGAGGCACATTTGAACGAGACCGACGAGACTAGAGAGAGTGCCATCGCGGAAATGAGGCACTGGCTCGAGGAGTATGACAACTCGCTCGCGCAAATCGGTAACAATTGCCGTGGTTGCACGCGCCAGGCGCGTTGAAATATCGCTCGGTCGAATTCAATTACGCGTTTAGTGGTTCTGGGGCAAGAAACGAAGTTACCTTTAATGGCCGCCAACGTGACGTTACGTCTAATACTTATGCTAATATTTATTCTTATTCTTAGATCGTTGAATTCTTGATCGCGTATTAAGAAAAAGAAAGAGGATACAGCAGATATCATTTCACTCCATTGGGAAGAACGGAAACGCGATTTGAAAGTGTTATACATAAATAATGGTAAATGATCTTCAATAGTGACTGATAGAAAATTTATATATGTTAAATTCGTTATTGTATCATTACATTATTGTATCGTTATCGTAATATTGTATTTGAGCTCTTGGTGTTTCGATAGTCTTCTTTAAACTAAACTAACACTTCAAGAACAGAAAATTTTAATGGAGTATTTTGCAGGATGTCGAAATGTAACTGACAGGAATAATATACAGCAATATACATATATTATCATGATTAATGATGCTTACATAAGACAGCATCTAACGTATACCTATTACGCGTGTACACTGCCTTGCTATCTAATTAACAAATAATTCCCTAACAAGAATTTTGTCTTCATATCCGATCCATGACATATGCGACATCGCGAAATTCTTGTTTATTGACTGGACTACACGTGCGATGTGTGCGTATCGTGTGTTGAAAAAATTCTCATAAAATTATATATTATATAATGTAAATATATTATACGTTTTATATTTTTTATGAATATAATTATATAATATTATATCATTTTAATGAAGTAACCGGTCAAAATTTACACGGAGAAACATAATTTGCTGACACAGCAGATTTTATGCTGTTGTAGCAAAATCTGTTCGTTATTATATGGGTAGCAAGAAGATTTGTTACGAATACTAATCGCAATTTGCTGGATATATTTGCTGGATTAACAAATTATTTCGTTGTGAAATGTAGTATATTTGCTAAGAATATATTATTGTGCCTTAGTAGCAAATTAATGTGATTTTAATTACAAATACACTCAGCGAATTTGTTTTATTCTCGCAACAAAATAGATTTTGCTATAATGACGAATAATTCGTAAAATTAGTTCTATCAACTAAATTTTATTGCTATTACTACGAATATGCAGTAGCAACAGCGATTTTGCTATACAAAGCAAAATTATTTTTTTCCGTGCGGGGTAAGTTAGAGTCGAAAGTTCAAATAGCAAAATATAAAAGTATCATTAAAGCGTTAGGTAACAGTTAATAAAAGTAGTCAGCAGAGATTGCGCAGTAGTTTATTTATCTTTATAACTTAGTCGATACTTCACGGAGAAAAATAATTTGCTGACACAGCAGATTTTATACTGTTGTAGCAAAATCTGTTCGTTACTATAATATATGGATAGCAAGAAGATTTTTTACGAATACTAATCGCAATTTGCTGAAATAATTTGTTGGATTAACAAATTATTTCGTTGTGACAGCTGCAAATGTATTTGCTAAGAATATATTATTTTGTTTCAATAGCAAATTAATGTGATTTTAATTACAAATACACTCAGCGAATTTTGTTCTATTCTCGCAACAAAATAGATTTTGCTATAATGACGAATAATTCGTAAAATTGGTTCTATCAACTAAATTTTATTGCTATTACTACGAATATGCAGTAGCAAAGGCGATTTTGCTATCACAGCAAAAAATTTTTTTTCCGTGTTGGTTTTAGTGTAGAACTATTTTTGGGCCGACCAACTTACGATATTTAACTATTGTGCCTTTATGAATAAAAATGAGATGTAAATTTCTACATCTACGCATATATGTTCAAATAGAATAAAAAGAGTACCATTCGGTTATATAAATACAATATAATTTTTTAACAGTTGTCTATCACGATTTAAAATTAAAGCATTTATAAATGTTGACAATTAAACATCGTCAATTGTTGATTTCTTGAAGGCATGATTTAATCGTGTCATTTGTAGTTACGACGCGGTGTGTGTGTGTGTGTGTGCGTCGCGTGTGCGTGTGTGGGTGTGTGGGTGTGTGTGGGGGGGGGGGGGTGCACATGAAAAAATGTATATAACTAAATTTAAAAATATAACGAAATTTAAATATAACTGATTTTAAATAAATTAGAACATAACTAAATTTAATTTCAATTAAAGAAGCAAAATTTATTAAATAATGAAATAATTTGTATGTTTTCTGTTTAAAAGATAGAATTTGTTTTAAATGGCGCTACTTTATGTATTCATAGTAGATTGAGCACCGTTTTAAATAGGTTTTTGCTTGAACGGGAATCTTAATTTGTACACAGATGACTTCTTTATCCTGCGATTTTTGAGAGTCTGCAAGTTTAATCTGGAGAAAACTAAAATCAGGATGCAAAACTATTACCAGCAGAAATCCCGCTTACCAGAATGGTACATGAATAAAGATCCGTGTCGTCCAGAACTGCAGGAATTGCTTGATATGGGGTAAAAATTATTATTTCGGAGTACTAAGAATTTACCTAAAATTGGAGATAAAGTGAAGATAAAATTTTTGATCACTTTCTATTTTGTTCCATTATATTTTATTGAAAACGTTCGGAAATGTTGGATGTTTGCTCGATAATTGGAATTAGACGATATTTCTTCGAAGTAGTCTTAAATACTTTATTCATGTTTTTAGGGTGTTTTTGCCTCTGCGAAAGCCAGATGGTCAAGGAAGATTAGTTATTGTGGTGTGCAGCGCTCGACATGATCCAAAAAAACACGAACTAGCAGACATATTTACGGTAAGGATTATAGTCGTATAATCCTCGAAAAATTTATGGTCGACGTATTTTTAATTCGAAATTTGCTTCTGGACGAACCACCTTTTTAGATCGGTATTATGGCGGTAGAGCTGGCGATGAGGTATTATCCCGCAGCATCCCTGTACGGCTGCTCAGTTTTTATAAACATGGCCGATCTAACTATGGGCCATATTCTCCAATTGCGACCTCAACTAATAATGAATCTGGTACACACGTGGCAAAGCTGTTATCCTATAAGGATGCAATCGATAACCATGTTCAATGTGGCCGAATATATCAATGCTATTGTAAGGATTTTCAGATCTTTTATGACGGAGAAGATGAAGAACAGATTTCATATCTACTCACACAGCACAACACAGAACTTTTTTGAGGATATTCCAGCTAACATCTTGCCCGTCGAATACGGCGGCACTGATGGTACGGTCCAGGAATTAGCAGGTAATTACGGTGAATTAAATGCGTAATTGTACTCTCTAATTGGATGATAAGGAAATTTCTTATTGAGCAAGTGTTGCCGAAGTAATGAACTTTTTGCAGTTGAGACAATCATTCAGGCAACAATCATAAAATGTTTGTAAAAACTTATCGAATAATCTATAAACTATCTGTCTTAGATTCGCATATAATTCAACGTACATGTGATACAAATACTTTACTTTTGCAGAATATTGGAAGAAATTAATCATGGAAAACCGCGATTGGCTCATGGATGATGAGAACGACAACATAATATTGAAGCACACGGAAGAAACTGATATAGTTGATTCAACAAATCTATAGTTTGCTGAACAAAATTAAACGTTTTAAAGAAGTAAATTTGCTAATGCAGCAAAGAAGTCGTGTGTAAGAGCAATCGTTACTTTGTTCATAAAACAAATCGATTTTCGCTGAAATTATTTTAGTTACTGCAACAAATCATTTTCGCTAAGTGCGAGACGTAGCTAGCGCCAGCCTCTGAGTAGTTCGCCGACCGCCGCTAGGCCGCGCATGGTGGCGGCCAAAAACTCGGAAGCAAAATTCAGTCTCGTAGGGTATAAAGGGAGGCGTGGAAGCCAAAACAAGTATCGCATATTGCGATCGCCACAATAATAATTGTAGAGTAAATGTTTTAATGAGCATTACTTTACCTAATTTTAATTGTTGGCGTAACTAATAATTTTGCTATAATAGGATTTTTAATACACCTAATTTTCTTTTATGTAAAGGCCATTCTACAATTGCGTAAACGTGGTTGTTATCGGTTTACAGTGTTGTAAAACACAGTTTTAAACTAGCATCTCCGATTGTAAAGCCCGTTGTAAAAGATGGCTGAACTTCATCTTTCACGACTACAACGATGTAGGACGTAAAAGCTAACCAATCATTCACTTCAATTACGACGTATCTTACTCTATTGTATATTACTTTGATGTACAACACTTACTACTACTTCTACTCCTACAACTCAACAACTACGTTTACGCAATTCTAGAATGGCCTTTACAGCAAAAAAATTAGTTACATATACCAAGCTATCTTTTCCATTGGTTGTAGTAAAGAATCATCTTTGCTCTACTAACAAATCTACCGTGCTGTAACATCAAATTTTATTAAATATAATTACTAATCCTATGCAGCTTTGCGATTTGATTACTGCAACATAGCAAACTGGCTGTCCGTATATTACGGCGGTAAATTTGCTAGACTAGCAGGGTTTTTGGTTGTCATAGCAAATCTTTTTTTCCGTGCAATAGATTTGCCGATCAAAAATTTTCCTCTTATTGTTAGTATTCTTAGTTTTAAATAATAATATATAATTATACGTACCTACTTATACGTTATCGTATAAAAATTTATTTTTATATTTGTATGTGTTTTATTTAAATGACGCGTGAAATAAAAATTTTTATGCTTTTTCGCTGCACATTTAGCGCATCTTTAAATTAAAGGATGGAGAAAGACAATTATAAATAGATTTGCTACAGCAAATTTCTGAATCCATTGTCTGTTGCGATGGATCGATTATTAAACATGATTGTTCATGGAAATGATAGCAACGATTATGCAGGTTTCAAGGGGTATGCTGACAATCTGCATTATTGGCGACGAGCTGGAAGAAGAACTGTATAATTTCTCGATAGAAAAATGAGACCTACATCTGAACGAGACAAGAAGGTCATCGCGCATTTTAGGATTAGATAGTGAAGAAAAATAACGAATTGATAAACAATTCTAAGCGATTCTACGTAGCAGTCGCATTAAAATATGCTGGGTGAAATTCAATTGCCGTTTATTAAGTTCAGAATAGTAAAACAAAGTTATTTTTAATCATATAAGATGATTAAAATTGGTAAAACCAGTTAAGTAAATTATTACTAAATTGTATACACATATTCTGAAATGGAATTGTAGTGAAAAGTTCTAATAGAAAGATGACGCTTTCGCTTTGGAATAAGAAACAAATAAAATTGACATTAATTAGAACAACTTGCGCGCTCAGAACGTTCAGTTTCAAGCCGGTTAACTTCATCAACACACCGGAAGCTTTGATGCAATCTGTCGATTTGTAAAACGTCCACGATCGCGGAACTGAAAAGCAAATTGCATGTATGTACGATGTAAACTAATTTTGCAAATGTCAGCTGTTTTGTTGATTTTTCCTAATTTCCTGGATTCAAGATAAATCGTGCTCTAATGCAATTACGTATCATATGACGTACTTAATGATAAAGCAAGCAAGAAAAGATATGTGCACGTGTATATGAGTTTCACATCTTTTTTTTTATATAGAGAAGTAAAATACAGTATACATCTTTGTTTTTCTTGCGCTCTCTATTTTCATTGACATTATTTCGTTGCTAATCAGTAAATGCCCGATGGCCTTCTTTTGACAACACGACAAATGATTCGCGTGTAAGAATTGCTCTTTACAGATTATAATCACAATACTATAATTTATTTATACACAGAATATCCAATATTATCTTAAAAAATTACTTCTACGTAAATCTGCATTGGTTCGTTTTTATAATTTACATTTTTATACGCCACTGAAATGCGATTGCTACGTGTGACAGATAATTTCCGTTACATAAACGTTATTGCAATTTACGAGCTGATATCAGGTCATCGTGAGTTAATGAACGTTTAGGATTTTCGGCACGGCGTCGTAATGTATTCTTACTTGTTACAAATCATATGTATATTAAATCGAACGCATACAAAACAACAATTAAACAAGTATTACACCTTTTGAACGCGCGCCGCGCGGTACTGTCGCTTTTTATCTCTTCTACTTCCGATCTCGTTACGAGTTTTATAAAATACGTACATACGAGTACTTAAAGTCATGGGCAAGTAGAATCGCGTTACGATTAACCAGCTATTATCTATTAATTTACTACTAAACTAGTAGTAAACTTACTAACTACGATCCCATTTTAATTCCGGGATGCTTACCAGGTCCCCTTCACCATGCCAGATCTCCAACAAACGGCTTCGTAAACGTATCGCACCTAGTTGCGATCGCCAGTGAGGATTACATGCGGTCCAACAATGGCATTGCTTTATTGTCCGCAATGCACACGATAGAATACTTAATTATCTATTCGCGATACTCCGGACATGAATAGACGCGACGAGGGGGAATAGAATATCGTTCCTAATGTATACGACACACAGTACTATCAAACGCATCGTCACTTGAACGATCCTTCGTGGAAAAAACAAAGAGAGAGAGAGAGAGAGAATTAAGCACGAGTAGGACCAGAGTTCATTCGTTCGAGGTGTCGCGTGGTGAAGCACCTTGTTCTGCGAGTTCTCTTTCCTGTGCGACACGATTTTATAAAACACTTTAGTTTATACGTAAAAATAAACCCGCTCTCACCTATGGTTACGTGAGCAAATTACACTATTGCGAAGGTAAAGATTAATATTATGCGTTTTCGAATTCATTCGGGACGTAATAAAATATTCGTTTGCAATCTCTGTACATGATAAACGCCTTCCGTGTCACCGTATTGAAGCTAACTCGTGGGATCGACTGACATGCCGGTGAAAGCCGTGTAAACGGGGAGCGCCGATTCTACATCCCTCGATCGCGATCCTCGAGAAGAACAATTGACGGGGAGAACCCTGGCGGTATCCTCGGGCATCCGGGCTGATTTTCACAGACGCCGAATAAAATACATGATCCCTATCAACAGACGCACGAGGCAAACGCGGCAGTCTCACGCATATCGTCGTACATTTATTCGAGAGTTTACATTACGCACACTACACATACATACATATGTATAACACAGGCATACATCGCGCGTGCACGCGCGATACGTGAGCTTTACGAGCACGTTAAACGCACGCGGGAGCATCACATGTATCGGAGGTCCATTCGCGGCGGAGTTTGTTGCGAGATCGTCGACATTTGGAATCGAAGCCGATCCACCGACCAAGGTCCAGGAGTGCTTCACTCTGTCGCCGGATCGTCGACTAAACGACGGCAAGTCGTTTCTTTCCCCGTAGGGGATTACCTTTTTTCGGATATTGTGCAACGCTCCTAGATAGAAAGACCCTCCTTGGATCGCGGGTCCAAGGTACGAGTGCAAAAGTTCTCCAAGGCCCTTCGCGGTCGTCGGCATCCGATTGCGTCTACAGTCCCCCGCTAATTCTTTACGGTTCCTAACTAACGCTCCGTTAATTTTGACCCCAGCTATATAATACAGATACGAAACAGATAAAGGAAGATTGTCTTCGAAGGACCACCTCGCTCTCGGGTGGAAAAGGCGAGTCCCGGCCGCGACGTCACATCCATCGAGAGTACACCGCTCGCCACCGATTCCCGATCGACTCGTTCCTCTTCGGGGAACATTCGCTCCTTTGATTCAGAGCTCTCTCTCGTCTGTCCGTCGCGGAATGTTCGCGAGCCACTGTACACCGAATACAGCCTGGACGCAAGAGCGGGAGCCGCTGTCCCTTATCCGCGCTTGAACTTCAGCACCAGCAAACTGATCGTGAGGAACACGATGATCCAGATGATGGTGGAGATGTAGCCGTTGTAGACATTCGGTTCCGAGATGCTCCAGCCGCGGGTCAGCATGGAGCGCAGGGCGGTCGTCGCCATCGTCAGTGGCAGACCTTGCGAGATGTATCGCAGGATCGTCGGCATGCCCTCCACCGGCCATATTACACCTGCAAAACGGAATGGACACTTGGAGCGAACGTAGAACACCCTGGGAAAAGTCTCCATCGGATAAACCAATCAAACGGTGTTTTCCGATGGTCAATTTTTCCGATGAAATGCAGTTACCGATGAAATTTTATTGAAAACCCGACCACATCTTTCATCGGATATACAATTTAACCGGATATATCCGTTTGTTATTATGCAATTGGACTATCCGATTATATTTAATCGGACATTTTTCTCAGTGTATAATAGATACAAGATGCACCGAAGTATTTTTCCGGGGAAAGATACGGATAGAGACAGTATCTGTATCTGTAACTATATCTTTAAAAAAAAAGATACCAAGCTTTACTAAAGTAGTTTTTCTATGGACGTTTGAAATATTTACGACATTACGTCTACACTTTGGTCAAGGAGAGCATAAAGCGAATTGAATAGCTTGTGTGGCAATTCGATTAGGGCACGGCGCACGTGAGTATTGGCCGACTTTCACTTCTTTGGTACAGCAAGGATTTCAGCGCGTGACATTTAAATCGAAATGATCGCCTAGTGTAGCGAGGGGGCTCGATCAATGAAAAATAAATTCGATAAATTCATCGAAAACAGGATGTTGACATATTTATTTCGCAACAATACGATAACAAACGTCCAATCAATGAAACCAACTGTTATGAGAGAATCGCACGGATGTTTCTGAATTCTCGCGCGAGATCAGTACGTAATCATAACTTTTAGATATTATATTATTAGCGAAAGCTTTAAAAGAATCCCAAATGTGTTTATCTTTCACAACAAATTGTATACATACCGCTGAGAAGAAGCGTAGGATAAAAGCTGCCCAGAGCCAGCTGGATGGCATTCCTTTCGAGTTCGCAAATCGCCGAAATCACGAACCCTGCGAGAAGTAGAAAAAGTCCAGACTGTAACGCATCTTTTGTCCCCCAATTGTCAATAATTGCCCGTTCAAAGGCCAAGGGGATTGCGTGCTTTTTACTTGCACTTTGGCGAAAGAAATTACATTTTTTCTTGGAAATTGCAAATCAATTCGCTGCATTATTTTTTCACGGATACATCGCGGTGAAGAACGATTTCGTCCTTGCCCTTACCGAAGCACATGCCGCAGAGCCCTTGAAGGATCGTCAGTATGATAACCCAGCCGATGTCACCCTTGCATTCGACGCCGAACACCAGGATCATGAAGATCAGCACCAGGGCCGTTTGACCGCACATCACCACGAATTGCGTGACCACGTGAGAGAAGAGAATTTCGCCGGGCGACACGCCGGCCACCCAGCTTCGATCCAGCAGGCCCTCCATCCTCTCGATAATCAGCGCCGATGACGTTAGCGCGACCGCCAGGAAGAAGACGATGCTGTCAACGAGGGTCAATTTTGAAAAAAACTGCGTGGAAAATACTTTCTACAGGGTTCACAGTGTTTGTGCGGGAGTTAGAGAGGGAATGAAATCTTATGAAGTCACGCAGAATGAAAATATGCGAGATGACGGCTGGGATCGAACCGAGGATCGAACCGATCCTTTTATTATCGATCACTCGTGTTTCGCCCACAGCTGAACGTTATCCCACTCAAACTTAAGAGTGTACAAATAAATTGAATATTAATAAACTTACGTCAATATTACACCTGGTGCCACGAAATCCGTGAAGCTGGGCTCGTTGGTACCGTAAATGGGATCCATGAACTGAATTGGCACGTCGGCCAGCTTCGTATTCTCCCCGCAGGACGACAGAAGGTCCTTGGCGAAATCTCTATACGAATACTGGAGATTTCTCGCCAGCATCAGGCCCACTTGTTGATCTGAAATCGCGAGATTTCACACACTCTAAGCAAACGGCGTTCGAAACGCGTGGCCATTAACACAACTATACAGAGACGCGATGCAATTGAGGTCTATGAGTCAACGCGCCGATGAGTAGTGAATGCTTCGATACATCTATACTTAAGGGAAAGAGACAAAGTTCGGTTGCTAGACGCCTGATGCTTTCATTATTAATTGCTTATTCACTGAGCAGATATTTACTAGACATGTCCAGCCAAACTCGGATTTCGCTTTGATCAAGGACCTCCTCATCGGCGTCCTTTCCTAAGGCCATCCTCGCCACGAGGGCGTCCGTGAAGTTCTCCGTAAAGTACAAGGTGCCCCAAGCATTTCCTCTGCGTACGGCTTCCATCGCCGAATCCGTGTCCGGATAGTATACCTACAGCGGAAAGTAAAATAGAACAAAAAAGAGACAGAAGCCACGTCTACTGCGCTCGTCTCGCAAATCGATTTCTACTTTAATTATTTAAAATTAGATTGATTATCTCGCGCTCGCGCTTACGGTGTATTATATTGCGTTACGTCGCGCAATATAGTGTCGTGCATTTTTGTTATACATGACATTTTTACGTAACGATTCAGACCTTTATCATCGACTCGCTGTCCAGGGCGTTGAGATACCGACAACTGAGAAACGTGAAACTGCAGTTCGTCGAAACGGGGCACGACATGTTCTCGTAAAACATCTCGTGGTTCACTATGGCCAGTTTCAGTCCCGTGGGGTCCCTTCCGATCGCCAGGCAGAACAGGATTACTTGCATCACCGGTAGGGCGAAGATAAACAGCATCACGCTACAACGTTTCATGAAGATTACTTGCTGCACAAAACATGGCCAGTATTACTGGCCGAAACACGTTGTGTTTTACTTTAATGAAGAATTGCCAGTAAAGTCGTTTCCATGCTTATGAAAATTCTTTATTAACATATCTTTATAAGATCGGGAATGGTAAAACCAGTGTGTACAGAACTGACGGTGTTATTTATTGTGCCAAGAATCATCCTATTAAAAACGTACCCGATGTTCCTCCACATACGCAAAAAGTTCTTCTGCAGAAGCGCTTTAATCTTGCCCCAACTGGTGATCTTATAACAGTCTGTGAAGTCGCCGCAATCATCGCACTCCACGACAGCATTGGATTTCGTACTCGGCAGCGCTTTGCTGTTTATCTGTTGCGCGAAATTGTCGTTTACAGTAAAATGGTTGCGTACGATTAACTACAAAGTTTTGCAATAACAATTTAGACTTTCGGGCAATTCTAAAGTCATGTAATTGGCCTATCTAGCTACTTGGTCAAGAAGCATTCGAGCTATGATGCGTGTCTACTTCAGGAACAATTAATGTAGCTAACATTGACCGCAATAAGAGGGAAAAATATAACAAATCATTATTTTTAATGTAATATCTTATTCTTACACATACAAATGTGGAGATCACTGAGTGTGGTGCCGAGTTTAATAAATTGCAACGACATAAAACAATACTCGCATGCTCGGGACAAAAACGAAAGAAGCACGCGTGCGCGCGTCGCTGACTTTTAAGTGTGATCCGCGGCGAGATTGTGGGATAATCTCTTACATCATAATGATTCGCTATTCCGTTGGTAGAGTCGGAGATCAGGACCTCTTTGCTTTGGTGGAAGTTGAGGCCGACAACACCGGATTCCTCCGTCACGTATACCGGCTCGTCTTTTTTCCCCCAGTAGTTTAAAGAAGCCTGTGCGCAAAGAACAAGAAGCGTGGCTGGTGGCGATCAAAAAAACGCGTGGTGATATTTAATTGATGCAAACAAGATACGGCAAGATTGGCTACGGAACGGACAAATAACTTTTTGCACAAATATACAATAACTTGAATGCGCGCGTTACTTACGCGCAGTAGTCAATTAGATGACGTAAAAATATTCGTACAACTTGTATTTTGTATGAGTGTTTTATCATATATGGCGTAACAAGTAAAATATAAGAATTTAGAAATGTGAAAACAACATTGAGAAGTCGGAAGGAAAATAGGTGACACCTTGAGAGAAGCTGAAAAGGAAGAAACTATTAAACTTAAACGTGATAAATGGCAACATCGATACGAAATATTTGAAGGGATAACAGCGTGGACGTAGACGTATTACTGTACAACAGAGACAACGACCAAATTACTTTCGTTCAATTTGACTGCCTCTTACATTGTGCAACGTGCCAAACTTGTTAATCTTAAATTTGCGTAACAATTGCGAAACAACAAAGTACGAATAATTGTCGAAATCGTGAAGAATGTTTCTTCTGAGATTTTTTTTCTCACCAAGCTGATGTTGCTTGAGATATTCAGCTCTGTCGGTTGAGCATGCTGTCCCTGCTTTCTGGAGAGCTTGAGAAAGACCTCTTCGAGGGAGGCGCAGTTGTATATTTGCAAGAGGGTTCTGGGTGCCTCCTCAGCCAACAACCGGCCGCTCCTCATCAAACCGATCTGTTAACACAGTCATTCCTTGCCTGTTATTATCTTCATATTTTTTTTCTCGATCGATAGTGCAAATAAATCGATTGTCTTGAAAAAATTGTTGAAAGATTGTGAGAAAGCACACGTATTGGGACATTTCCGTAAGAAACGTTTAAACGTCGCCCCAGTAATTTTAATTAGCTCTGATTAATCCCGAATATTTTTTCAGAGTTTCCAGTTCAATTGTAAGATTCAGCCGGAATGAAATGATGGACAAATCGAAATAGGAACTTTTGCAGTATGTACATACGATGAAAGCGCGAAGCATTCTGATGTTATTTATCACGAGATGTGTGAATTACTGGCAAAACACCGAGATTGGCCTCTTTGCACTGTAATTGATGCCTAGCATAACATACAGCCGGACTAACCAGCCAATGGCAACGTAATGACATGCAATCGACCGGTGGATAATCGTTGGTAGGTTTCATTATTAATGCGATGCTATTTGCGTCAATTGAGATTCTGTCGATTCATTTATTAATCGTCGAATATGTAAAGTAAAATACTTTACTAGCATTGACTAATTTTAATCATAATTTATTTTTGATTGCCATTAAGAGAGAGAGAGAGAGAGAGAGAGAGAGAGAGAGAGAGAGAGAGAGAGAACCATAATAATTAAAAAAAATTAATATCGAACTCGAAGTTTAATTAATGACGATATTACCGTGTGCGCTTGTCGGGCTTCTTCGATGTAATGAGTCGTTATAATGACCGTCTTGTTCCCATCTTTGGTGATTTGAACCAGGTGATTCCATATGCTAGAACATAAAAGAAAAGAATAGCCACGTCTTAATGTGTGCGTAGGTTTCAAGTCGAATAAGATATTTGCATGGAAAACACATTTCCTAAACGGTATAAAGGTATAAAGAAACGAATATAATATAACCCGGGTAGCACAGCGAATTCGCAAAATATTCTTCAAGTTTTCTGCCTTTCTGAAGTTTAATTCAGGAATTCACAGAAGAATACAATATTAGGAATGATTGGGGAAGTTGTGCGCACCATAATGAACCTCTGACGGATACTTCAAGAAGACTTAATCTCTCTCTTAACCAGACATTTTCCAGACAGCACGAAGGTGAACGTAGGCTCGTAGAGAATTTATTTTAAAGAAAATACCCGCAGCATTAGAAAACTGAATATCTGAAGAGTTCTTGAAGAACCGATTGTGTCCGATTCTTCAAGAACTCTTCAGATATTCAGTTTTCTAATGCCGCTGGTATTTTCTTTAAATTTCTATTCTGTATGAGCTTACGTTCAACCTTTGTGCTGTCTGGAAAATGTTTGATTAAGAGAGAGATTAAGTAAAACACTTATAACAAAATGTACAAAACGTATATGTGGGTATTTTTTAGCAGTCATCACTCCCGCGGTTGTGACAGATTGCGATCAGCCGTTCCTATAATAATTACAATTCTGCGGTTTGAAATTCATGCGATCGTCATTTGCAACGTGATAAGTGTACGTGCGTATGTGTGCGTGCGTACGGGCTTGTGTGACATGCACATAAAGCTTACGTATTATTTATGCATTATCGCTGCAATTTTTATATTGACATCTTGGCTCTTTCAATACCTTGAACTTTATAACACTAGATTAAAAACACTGACGGGATTTTTCCATATTCAATAAGCAAGAATACATTATCACGCGGAAGAACGTAAAAAGAACTTGATACGCACACGCAGAATCGAGTTCGAAAGCGAGGATTTACTTTTCGCGAACGGGCTAATTTGTCGAGCTAACCGCTGCGATACATGCGCGATATTAAGATAAGTCGTCAATTTATAAAACTAGACCGCGTAACAAAGTAAAAGTCGAAAGTCGCTGTGCTCGATGTTAGAGATACGACGTTTCAATTATCATGTACATTATTAGATTTCAACGTATATTGTACATACCGTACACCCTAGAAAAATGTTCATTAATTTTTTTTCACGCACGAGAATAATTTAATCACGTATTGAAAGTAACGTAATTGACGGAAAAATAATTTTACAGACACGAATCTTTTAGCGATTGATTTACTTTGTGTTCAGTATGTGTGATGCCTAATACATATGTTGTATTAGCATATGGGTTTATGACATCAATTATTTTTTATGTTTTGACTTAGGCGCTTTATCATAATTACATAATTACGACAGTCATTCTCCAGTCCTTGCAATCTATACATTTTCAACGTTTACCGGAAAATTTTATAATTATTTCTTTCGGACTTTTATTAGTTGACTTCATATTACATTTGCTTGATTATTCATTAAGGTAAAGTGACAAACTATATCTTTTATTGTATCTATTAATTTTTATCTTGTTCCTTTCACTTTTTTTTATTATTATTGTTTAATTAAGTAATTATCTCATATCATTACTCATCTCATATCTCATATCATTACAATAAAAATCATTACATATTGTAATGATTTATCAATGTATTCTTTATATCGTACGAGGTTTCTAATCGCGATTTTTGATTGTACATTTTAGAAATTGCTTAGAAAGGACCGAAACCCATGGTCGAAACGTTGCTGTGTAAAATTTGTTTATCGTTATTTATTACTGGCAACTTAAAGAGATTTTGAGGTTTGAATTATTTATGTTGATTCTTTTTTAACGAGACATTGGTATTTCGAGGAGCCAGCGAGATAAAAATGCAAGTGAAACTTATATGGCCTAACGGTCATGAAAGAGTTGACGGTCTTATTTTATTTCCTTTTTAAATAATATGTTAAAAACAGAGCATGGAAATTAATGATTCTCATAAACAAGCAGGTACACTGCGCGGTTAATATAATCCAGCGAATAATTGGAAATTTGATCATTAATGTAGAGAAGCGAGATAATTACTTAATGCAAATTGTAATACACCTTTGAAGCGCGAAACGCATCGAAATGCGATTAAGTTGAAAGTGAGTCATGGGCTCTCCTAGTAATATTCTCCTGGAAAGTGATCGGATCCATAAACGTCGCGATTACAATTGGACACGACCGACGAGGAGTTAAGAAAAGTGAGCTGAGATGTAGACGACAACAACAAAGCTGTAAACTTTCTCAGATAACGAGGCAAAGCGCTTGAAGCTTTTGCTTTAACGCTGCTCAAGTGGTATTATTTTTTATTTCTTCCGTATGTGCAATTTATTTACCTCTGATCTCTGTACTATAAAATAGATAAAAAAAATATTGTACTACAAAGCGCCAATAATTTCGAATACTTAACTGGGCGTACAGTGGCTACATGTAAACGTTGGCATGGGTTTTATTTCTATTTCATTTGCGCCACGTATAAATGTGCTCGCGGGAAATTTTCTACGCCCCGAGGAGACATCGCATTACCGGAAGCGAAACGTGGAAGATGACAACAACGTGGTAATTACAGTAATTGATTTCCCGTTGTAAAAGCAGGATGTTATTGCGGAAAGCACCTCGGTTAATTATCCGCTTCATTTGTTTCGTGAATGAAAGCGATAATTTTTCTTCTGCACGAACAAACACCGTTCCCTCTGACAGAAAACAAAATGTCGCGCGAAAATAATCTCGCAATTTTCCCCCTATTAAGAATTGACTGTACTTGTACATTAATCCAGACTGATTCCGTTCTGGCAGTTAGTTTAATGATTCGCGTTCTTTTCGAAAATATTTGTGTAAAGTCGGTTTACCTTCATTAATTTCTTCTTCTTATATTCTGTTACGTATTTATGCAAAATTATTTAAATATTCCTAAGCTAACCAAGCCTTGTACCCGTGACCTGCTACACTATTCCTTGGAGCTCCTCATTTCCACATAAATACACTTGAATTTTAAAACATTTTAATAGAATTACTTATTTTAATTTTCAGGAAACAGTAACGCGACGAAACTGGTTACGACTAAGCGTCACGGTTATTATGAGGAGACTTAAAACCGATCAATATCTTTGAGAAATCAAAATCCATCAATCTAAAGACAGACTTGAACACTTGAGTAACTTTTCTGCAAAAACCGAAGCACTAGTGGAATCTTAAATTCGTCAATTTGATGTTCTCGTTACGCTTTGTATTCTTTTCAGTTGTTCTTTTAGATTGTTTCTTGTCTTAAAAGAAAAACTTTTATATCTACAATTAATTTTTATATAATACTAAAATGTTGCTGTAACGTTACGTAGTAATCATAAATATTTCCGAAGGAGAACATTTTATATTCAATGTTGTAGCAATTTCCCAGCAACATTTCACAATGTTTATGCAACGTTGTAATCTTACAATGAAATGCCGCGATATCCCTGCAATCTAGCTGTGCTGTATGAATCCGCAGATAGTTACAAGCTTTTGTTATTTAACACTCGAGCCTCGAGAGTGATTTGATGGTAGATAGAAACAGAAAGAGGCCGCGTGAGAAACTACGAGAGGCGCGCTTCGACAGTTAATTTTTTACTTCTTTTTCATTCTTCGTCCAGGCCCATGCAGGCGACTACTTTCACTTAAAGCCAAGCTTAAAGCGTGACTTACAGATTTAGTGCATTGGTCACAGATCCGCTGGTATGCACGATTTAATCATAATAACACTTAGACTTTAAGCGAAATGCGACCGAAAATTCTCGTTATTCTAAAAAACAGATCCGCTCTTTCCTTCCCTACTTCATTTTTGCCCTAACGGAAAATAATTATGAAATAACAAACTTACTGAGGCTCTTCAATTTATATTTTGAGGGTACACTTTACTATTTAAATAATTAAACTTCGAAAAATGATAATAATGATATTAATTTGTAGGGGACTATTCGTAAATAGGAAATTTATACTAAACACTTTGTATATCGTACACGAAAGTTTTATAGTCTACTCCGACGTCTTTCGTGGCCAATATAATTGCCAACGATATCGATTGTAACGTTACGTCATTAACGACACGTGTATACTTTGACGACGAATAAGCGAGCAGACGATTAACATAGGTCTATTACGTTAATTATGCTAATTTCACGAATAATAATAATATAACAAGGACTTGCTGACTCGCTAAGCAGCTGTACAAGATGTGCGCTCTCACGACTAAAGTTTATTCAAAGAATTTAAAGGACTCAGAGCCGTGACAGGATGGTAGTGTCTAAATATTCTATTCTAAATTTATTGCGAAAAAATATCACCCTGGCCGAGGTGCTATTTTTTCGCAATAAATTTAGAATAGAATATTTAGACACTACCATCCTGTCACGCGGCTCTGAGTCCTTTAAATTCTTTGAAATTTGTGTTGAACACATACGAGCCTTACTAATTTATTTAATTAATTTATTCAAAATGTTAAAAAGGATCACGCACCTTTGCCTCAACAGCGGGTCCACGCCTACGGTCGGTTCATCCAGAATCAGCAATTCCGGATCGTGCATGAGAGCCACTGCGAAAGATACTCGTCTTTGTTGACCGCCACTGGTATACGAAAAGAAAAATAATAAAAACATTAACTTATTAATTGATAGTAATATATAATGAGGATTATATTATTTTAAAGCGGAATTCAGAGATGCGTTACCGTCTTGCGCTTTCGTATACTTTGTGTAAAATACATCCCTATACACGAGCGAGACGTTAATACCCGCGAATTCGTACAAAGAAACGCTTTTTGGAGGACTATATTGTTATTTAACATTTATATTTTTACGATTATTCAATTTGTAAAGCTGTCAGACGGTAAACATACGAGTAAATATGTAAGTAGATAGTTCCTTTCTCGAAAAAAAAAAGATGATATTTTGAAAAGCGGAATCGCGCAAACTGAACGAAGGCTTTTCGGAATGCAAATCGGCTGTAATAGATATGCGGCTTTTTTACTTATGGGCATTTTCAACCTGCAGACTGACAAACTTTTGCAAACACGTTTTCACGAGTCCGAGAGATCCTGTCACCGTTCTTGCACGCCGGTATATAATCGAAGATTAACCGAGGAACGTTCCGCTAGCGCGGTCGCGGGTGCGAAAAACTCATACCTAAGATTCTTCACCAAACGATTCTGCGAAGGCAGATCAAGGAACTGCAGCAAGAAACGTAGCCTCTCGACGATCTCTGCTGTGCACATTCCGAATATCCAGCCGAAGTACATCATGGTCTCGCGGATGGTGAACTCGCCGTAAAGAGCGATCTCCTGTGGCATATAGCCAACCCTTTTTCCAGGAACTCCGGAACCCTTTGTCCCGGGTTTGCCGCCCAGTACCCAGATCTCGCCTGAATTTAATCTCCTCCGGCCGACGATGCAAGATAACAGGGTGGTTTTGCCGCATCCGCTGGCGCCCAGCAGCCCGTATCTAAGGTAAACAGTTTGCAATGATTAATTTTTATATTAATATCAATATTCATGTTAAATCCAGCGAGCAGACGCACCGTGCTAGCAAGCGCGAGCTAACAAACACGAATTAACGATTCTCTTCGTCAAAAGCGACAGGCACCGTTATGTTAAGACGAGTAATCTAACACCCCCAAAAGATATTCTATTCATAAGCGGGGAAATCAGTGACTATCCACTGCTTTCAGTGATAATCCACTGATTGACTTTTACCGAGAACGTGACAAAGTTGTTTGTATATGAAGAGAGGATCTCCCGATATTTAATAACTTTGCTAACAGGTATGAAGATGCGAGTCTTAAGTACGTTCTGTATAAGAGACCGATCTTTACGGGAAAACAAGTTGGCTAATAAAAAATGTTTGTGAATACGTGAATATGTCGCAGAGGCTTATAACCTTCGGTCTCTGCGCACGAGTAGACAGATCTATCGCTTTGTATAGAACAGCGTCATTTACATTTGTAATTTCCATCAGAATGCTAACGAAAGTGTAATTGGCCAACTTGAAAGGTTCGTGGTCCTTGAGACTCTTGAGAGAAGCCCAGGCAAATACAAGTTTGGATTATTCATAACTATGATACTGGCGGTCTCGCCGGAAATCGAACGATACAGTTGTTTGCATGACTAATAAGTAAGCACCCGCGAGATAGAGTCTCTCGCCAAACGGAAGCGTCGCGGCCGCGCCACGAGGCGCACGCATCTCGTCGAGAAAATTCGTGGAGGCACAATAAATGAATAAAATCCAAATTGAACGGCGGGATCGGCTGAAGGCCGACCGCGAACGTGTATGTGACGTAATTCGCGACGAGGCGAGATTGAGAACACGGAAAGTTACCTTCGCACTGAGGTGAAGTCATAAACAAAATTGCTATTGATTGTACATTTTTCCCCGAGCACGGAATATTCGCTTCTTCATCCCCGACAGAATTCGTGCTCAAATATGAATCAACTCTTGATCTGTAAAAGGCTGATTATACAGGGTGTACTAAAACCACCGGATATCCTCTTTTAATCATAAATAAATTCTTGAGAAACTTTCAAGACAAAAATTCTAATACAAAAATGTCGAGGCTATAATAGTTTTTAAATAATAAGCGATTACATTTCACAAATGACAGGCCTGAGATTTCTTAATCAGACCGATATCCTTCGATTTAGTCGATCTCCGATATTCTGAGTGAACTTGGAATTTTCAGTTAGATTCAATCTAGTCTCCTGCCTCTCTTTATCCTCAAGTTTTTAAAATTACCGGATCATCGTCTTCCCAAATATTTTCTGTCTCGTTAAACGGTGACCTTGGTTCTCGCTCGCTCGCGAAACACACAGGAACACTTTTATCACTCGTCATGTCGCCGTGCCTGAGCGCGCGGAATCTCAGACCTGTCATTTGTGAAATATAATCGCTTATTATTTAAAAACTATCATAGCCTCGACATTTTTTAATTAGAATTTTCCTCTTGAAATTTTCGAAGGAATCTGCGATTAAAAGGATATCCGGTGGTTTTAGTACACCCTGTACAAGCGAGAAAATCACAGACCTGTGCGTTTCCAGTTGTTATTAATAAGTGAATAAATAAAATTTCCGTAATAAATTTCCGTAATTAAGTATACAAAATTACTCCCGGTACAAATGACGATTAGAATATTCTAGCACTCTTTATTGTGTCTGGAAATTTCAGTTTAACGACAAATTGGATTTGTATAATGTAATACTTGATTATTTACGATACAAAAAGATTATAATGCGCAATTTCACTACCAGAAGAATAAACATCCTCTCCGTAGGCAGGTACAATTAATAGTCCATTTGGAGCGGCTTAATCGAATACCGCGCAAAGTCGACTGAAGTCTTACAGAAATATTCGGCATTTTCATAAATGCGATACTTTTATAATTACAATTTCTACCAAAACCGTGTCAGACCGCGACAAAAATGATTATAGTTAAACGTAATCTTGGAGTACAAAGATGTGACGAGAAAAGCACTTTTTCTCGCAACATTTGCAACGTTGAATTTTATTAATTTAGTTTTTGTATCGTAAATAAAGAAATGCCCTCATTTATTATGGAAGTGGTATCCAAGTATTCATAATTATCTGCGACACTGCGAGATGGTCAAAGACAAGATGACCTCGATTAGTATCTGAATTTTTTAAAGGCAGTATAATACAGTTTCATAAAAACAAAAAAGAAACCTATTTAAATAATAAGTCAGTTTGATAAAATAAATTACCTCACGAGTCATTTAAACGTCCCATTTCGTCAGAATTTGGAAAACAATTAAGTAGTTGGAAAGCGAACGCTAATCGCCCGGAAAATAGCATGAGAAGGAGCTTCTACATGCGTCATTTTTAAAACATGACTTGTCAGCACATTTTCAACGCATTATTGCGAGCCGCTATTAACTTGTTTAATAAACATTGCATTTCGTGCCACTTCTTAGGACGTCGCAAAGCTATGTTATCATGTCTTTAGCTTTGCGCGTTTTATGTTTTTGTAATACGCATATAATTCTGGTTTCTGGCATAATTTAGAGTAAAAGAAGCTGCCGCGCAGAGCTCGGGGCGCACAATTTACACCAAATTGTTGTTCCAACGTCGCGGTGTTTTAACGCGAAAGGTACGTAATCGCGTATCCCGATCGTATGGCGATTACGAAACGCGTACTGAAATGACTATAACGGAAATTACAGTTTTAAGTGTTTTAATTTCCTGGTGGCCACGTAGCGGCATATTGTTGTTGTTTCGCATTATGAAATAACTATCGCGATAGATCCTTATCGCGAATCGGCATCTCGCGATTCGTACCGCGGCGGTCGCCGCGGATGAAAGATCGCGTTAATTAATTACGCGGCGCGGGATCAGCCGTTACGATAAATGGCTCGTTAAGATAGAAAACGAGTTTCTCGCGTCGCTTTCTCGATGCAGCACATTAGGCAGAGACGCAGAAGTGTGCTCAATTTTTCGCGATTCCGATCGCCCGTTACACGAGGAGAGGTATTAAGATCAGGAAATTAGGCAATACCTCGATGGCAACGAATTTATAGCAGTATTAAATGTGCACGCAACATGGAAATGAAAGAAGTTATATTATATCAACATCCTCCTCGCGACAAGCTGATCTGCTTCGAGTATACCAGACCGCGATCGCCGCTCCCGAATTCTTCCAGTTTTACAAACGTCATCAAGGGGATGCTGGAGTGGTTTGATTTACACTGAACTCTGGTTTAACAGTTGACCGACGTTTGTAAAACTGGTCCTAAAAAAATTAACTGTACTCACATCGAGCCCTTGGCCACTGTCATGCTGAGATTTTGTATAACGTGGTTCGGATTCTTGCTGCTGCCGTAGGTCTTGAAGGCGTGCCTGACGCTGACCGCCTGCTGGCGATTCCAGGAGGGGTTGTTCAGCCCCGGCGTCGCCAAGGCGGGGTTGCTCGACGCCACCATCGCCAGGTCCGTGTTGCTGTCCGCGTTGTTGCTCTGCATCGTCGTCGCGTTCGCGAGATCGGCGGCGCCCGCACCTCCGTCGCTGCAAACGAAAGCGCATGTGACGGTAACGAGAAAGTAACGGCAGAATTACGGTGGAATGACGGCGATATCTCGCACCGCGGTCTTGTACGATAGCGATTCGGCAAACGTCTCCGCAGGTATTGCAACGTGCTCGCGGCGTGTCGTGTAAAATTGCAGAGCCTCGCAACATCGCAGGGCGTTAATTGCAATGTGCTCCACTAAGAGCGAGCTGTTGCATTGCCTTTGCTGTGAATAGAAGGCGCGTAACAAAGATGGGATCAAGCTGGAGAACCGACCATGTGAATTTTTCCTATTTCGCGAGCCTCCTAATTTCGTTGAAAACGAAGACAAACGCCTCTTTGAAATCCTGCTGAAGTAACGAAGATACAGTTTACAATCCGATTTCTTTTTAGTGTCTAAACAAATTTTATTAACGCGACTAGCGAACGTCGACCTTTGGACAAAACTAACAATTAATTTACACGTTTTAATAAAAACAGCCGCTTTGTAACTTGCAAGAAGATGCGCGAATTACGTTAATTGTAAGCTGCGGCAAGAAAATGAAATAAGACTTAAAAAATATACGAGCGTGTGACTTCGGAGTTGCATGGCGTTCTAGGAAAGTTAAATTGAAAATTTCTTTTGAGCGCCGAGTCTTCCGAATTGTATTGAAGGTAAGAAGAGCCGATTTTCCGAAACGTCCTTAAGCCCGTATTGAGATTAAATTGAATTTGACCAATCAGAGTAAAGTTTACTAATATCAAGTTCAATGAAAGTTACTCCGATTGCTCAATCCGTAGTCCGATACGGGCTTTAAGGTGCTGAAAATTTGACCGCACGTAGAATGTACCGAACGGTATAATGCCGAGTCCCGAAAGCGCCGACGATCGCGCGAAATTGCCGCGCGTTACGCGAAGAAACGGCGAGAAACGATTCTGCAAATCTCGGCGCGGATTGCGCGGCATGCGTATAGAAAGAGCCGAGCGATGCGGTTGCGTAACCGGGCGCGCGGCTTTCTTTTCGCTTACGCGCGTGGCGATTCATTGGGCAATATGTGGACACGCAGCCGCGCAGGTGTGCGTGTGTGTATGTGTGCGCGCGCGCGCGCGTGCCGCGTCGTGTTTAACATAGAAGTGTGTAGACGTATGGAGATGCGGAATACGTAACGCGTGTGCGATGCAGCTCGGCACGCGCGCGAGCGTGAATTTTCGCGCTCCCGTTTCGCCGCTCCGACGGGCCGCTTCGCGGGGTTGTTCCCGCGGTTTCCCTTTCCGCGGACGCCGCGATCTAATGGCCGTATCGCACTAGCGGTTCGCCAATTTTTCAACTGTGCAGCAGCCAACAGCAAAGCCAACTGCAACGCCAACGCGAACCGCCGGTGTGACGCGGCCATAAGGCCCGTATCAGATACGGATTGAGATTGGAATTAGATTGAAATTTGACCAATCACCGTAAAGTTTAAGTCTCAAGTTTAGTAACTTTTACTCTGAGTGGTCAATTTTCAATCTAATCTCAATCTGACGCGATACTATTTTTCCCACTGGATTGTTTACGAC